CTTTAAGGGGGGGAGAGTTGTAACACCCGAATAAAAATAAAGATTTTATTTTTTTATTTTTATTTTTATTTATTTATTTGAATTTTTTATTTAATTTAATTTAATTTAATTCGATGAAAATAAAAAATAATAATGATAAAATTGGGTAAAAATATCATTTGAATTTAATTGTGATTGATTTTGGGAAAAATGGATGAAAATTTGGATTATGGGGGTATTTTTGAAAACAAAATCAAAAACTGGGGGTCAAAACGTAATTTAGAAAAGTTGAGCCACGTCAGCACCACGTCAGCAGCCACGTCAGCGGCCCGGTCAGCAGCCCCGGCCAACCAGAACGCGTCGCGTGGCAAGGCAACGCTGACCAGGGAACGGGCCACGTGGGCAATTCGCGTGCGCGCGATCAGACGGCCCAGATCCATTCCCGCGTACATGGACGATCCAGATCAAACGTGCGCACGGACGGCCCAGATTCACGCGCACGGACGGCCCAGATTCAATCAGGCACAGACGGCCTAGATTGCATCGCGATGAACGACCCAGATTTAATCCCTATTAAATTGCGATCGGACGGCCCAGATTCAATCTTGATGGACGGTCAAGATTAAAAGGCAAAAGGTATAAATACCCCCACCTACACCTGACCAAAGAAACCCTAGCCGCCAGTGCTCACCGGATAAGAAGAACCAAACGCCGGAGGAGCCGGCCGCCACCACCCGCCGCCGCACCGGGGAAGTTTCCGACCGCCGATCGAGGTAATTTTTCTCCCCCTTGCTCGTTTTTCGACGCTGAGTCCGCCTATGGCCAAACCGGAGCCAAACCACCGGCCAAACGGCTGAAAAACCCAGCCAAAACCCAGCGGCGTCGCCGCGCCCCTCCTTGGTTTTTGCCTCCGATGAGGCCCTTCCCGGCCTCCGTTTTATGCAAATTTTATACCACTGTGATCACTGTTCTTTTCTCTACAGGTTGATCAGAGCCAAACATCAAAACGCGACTCACGCCGGAGGAGCCGCCGCATCCGAGGGCACCACCGCCGGTAAGTTTCTATTTTTCGTGATTTTTCGGCCCACCGAGGGCCCTAGGGTTGTTCTATCGCAGGGACCGATGCAAGCGTGGCCGAATTCGACCGAAAATGGCCAACCCGAGACGAATCGCCGCCGCAAACGACGGCACCGTCACCGGAGCATGGCGGAGCTGCCGTGCCGGAATTGCGATATTGGCCGAAAGGGGCCCTAGGTCTAATTTGGAATTTTTTAGGACACGTGCAGGTACCAGTAGTGCGTTTCAGTTCCCCGAAAAAAATTTAGAAAAAATTAGGGACAGCCTGTAGACGCACTGTAGGGCCGTCTTCAGATCCCGAAACAAGTAAGGACCCCTCACTCTATTTCCTATCACGGTATTAAAGTTCAATAAATGATAAAACGGTATTTCATGAATCAATATATGTGTGAAATTGTTTAAGGTCGCTAATGGAGCCCAAGTCTGATACTGGGTTGGTCTGTTATTATTTGATTTAATTTTTAGTATTAAATGCAGTATGATGTCTGATGTTTTCATTTCATAGTTTCGTGTGCATATATCACTATTTTATTGATTATGGGTTGAATGACTGAGAACCCGATGTTGTGTGTTGTCTTGTTTGGTATAAACTACTGGTTTGCATGTTTGTGTGTGATTTGATGATGGTGACTGAGGAAAAAAAGAATAAAAGATTACGTGAATTGATAAATGGATAATGTGAACAACCTGACTAGATATCTTGGGAGATGGTGGATGGACCGGGTCCGTAGGGAACCCTACCGGGAACGTGGTCTCTCATACTAGACGGGGTATGGAGACCTTCTGTGTTTTGGCGCCCATACCGGACGGGGTATGGGGACGGCCCGTTTCTCCCTCATACCGGACGGGGTATTGAGGTTCATGGTTTTGGTGCCCATACCGGACGGGGTATGGGGACGACTCTGGAATCAGATTATAAATGTTAAGAGTTCATGGGTAGCAGGACCCCTATGGATCCCCATGGATACTAATAGGTTGGTAAATGAGGAAAATGTATTGTCTAATGATTGAGATGCAAAGGCATGGTAAGTATTCTATTATACAGTTCATATGATTTCATGATGATGATAATGTTATTATTTTCATAAGTTGTTTTCATGAATCTCACCGAGGTAAGTGGACAGTAAAGGTTTTTATGTTAATAAACGAGTTTATTATAAATTATGCTTCATTGGTCTTTTTGTGTTTTCTACCCACCTTTACTTCCGTGGCGGTGATGTAGTGTGATGTCTTTACTGGGCTGGTGTAGCTTATTCCTTATTTAACCATTTCAGATCAGGAAGACATTGTTCTCGAGCCCGTTCCGCAGGAAGTCGGCGAAGGGGACGCCTAAAGACTCCGTAGTTATATTTATAGTTCTTATTTTCGAGTATCTCTTTTAGTTAGTTTGTTCTTTTATATTTTGAGCACGTTTTTAGTTTTTGTGTAAGGGATGTTAATCAAAATTTTTATTACGCTTCCGCATTTGATATTTTTAATACACATATTTCATTCTAAATTTCTGGGGCCGTTACAACATCCATTATCCAATTAACACCATTATTGGATCAGGATTTTCACTATCATAAGGGGATGCACACAAACAATACATGAGCATTAGTTACAACCGTCCGTTGCCAGGTGTCTAGAACAAAACACACATCTCAACCACCTCTGTAAGGGTATCTATCCACCTAATGATAGGGTTCACCATTCCGCTGAATTTTAGTCATACCAATCTTAAACGGATTATTTCTAAATTTTGTATTCTTTCAATCTTTGTATTGTTTTATTTTCTTCCTATTCTAGTTAAGATTAGTATTTTATTTTATTTTATTTCACACTTAAAGTTTCACTTATCACTTTTCCTATTCCTTTTTTAACCAATTCCCTATTAATTTACTTTAGAAATTTTATTAAATTATTTGAGTTTAATTTTTTTTATTAATATTCATTTACTTTATGTAAATTCTTTATGATTTATTAATATTATATATATTTGCTAGTATTTATTATTATTATTTAATTTGTTATATATTTTTTTATTTTTTATTTTAATCTTATCCTTACTCTAATTCTTTTTATTTCTAA